GCGTTCATCATCCGCTGACAAAAACGACGAAGCAGACAATAATCGTTGTTGTTTGTTGCTTTCGTCTGATTTTCTTCTCAAGTTAGGTGAAGATTCCCTCAAAGACGACTGTCGTTGTAACATATGTTCCCTTTTCTTCAGGAATAATCTTTGTTCTGAGTTCCTTTGCTTCTGAATCTGGCGAGTTTCCTTGCTGAGTGTTGTTGCATCGATTGCATTTCGCACAAGAAGTGTTTTTGCGGTGTTTTTTGATAAAAGACTCACCGGCTCCTCTTTACCTGGTTTCATGTCGCCGATCGGAATTAATGAAACCCTGGCCCACAAGTTCACGTTACTTAAATATGGTACTTCAGTTCAAACAATGACGACATCGCGAAGTTGTTCGTCATCATAATATGTAATATTGGCTTATCGTCCTGTTTAATAGCCCTGAGGCATCCAAGTACAGATTAGCTTGTTTGCTTGTTTCTAAAATTGCTTTTTCCACCTTGCAATTTTCGGTTGATGAAATGAGGTGGACATTTCACTTCATTTAAAACTTACAAAGGTAAAATAATCGTTGAATAAAGATGGCAGTTGGTAATTTCAAATCAGATAAATCAAATCTTTATCACAACACTATGGTACCAATATCAGTAAATGATAGAATGAGGCGATCAATAGGTGATTGTTTATAAGTAATAACTTTGGACCCGTAAGAATTAGACACTTAAATTCAAATAGGAAAAATATTTCTGGGCATCAAATCTTTATCACTAAGGTTGTACCAGTATTGCGTGAATGAGTGAATGAACTGTAAGGGAACAATGAACGATCTGCTACCATTTGCGGTAGATTAACCCGTATATTGGAATCTTTCCCATATTGGATAAATCCAACGAAAAAACAGTTACAATGAAAAGGGACCAAGACTTGTATATCTTCTCAGTTAAAGCACGCGCACCTGTTACAAAAAATTTTTGGTAATTTCGAACTTATTTGGGACAAACAGGAAACGTTTTAGGTTTCTTACAGGTTGCCTTAATTTTTCAGTTTAAGGCAATGACTTCGCGGTTTTTATTTATAGCGACAAAAGCGGAGCACTAACGTCAATGCTGACATTCGCGGCTTCCTTTACTGGCGACGATCGCATTGTCTTGAAACGTTGCTTTACATATTTTTGCTATAAGTGGAAACTTTTAACATTTCTAGTAATTTCTTTTCAGTCATTGTTTCTGCAGTCTGTTGTTTTCGCCGACCCAAGAAGGCTTTCGGGCCCAGCCATGTCACCCCGAGGTTCTTTGTTGCTATAGAAATAAGTCGCGAAGATAGAAATTTTTGGCGTTCTTTAAGGTTGATTTCCACTGACGCGTTTTTGGCTTCGAACGTTAACGCACGTAAATTTTAATCACGTAAATAAAACAGAGACAAGGTGAAAAGTGCTGAGCTTAAACGAGAAGTTGAGCGAGGTTCAACTTTTAGGCTGCGTGCGAACGGACGCAACAACTCCCACATTTTTGCGTCCGTGTTGGCAGTGTTATGCAAACGGATGCAACAACTCCAAACAATGTTGGAACCTGCAGTGCATCGTGGGAAGGATACAACCAACAAGTCTTTGTAAACCATGCGTAATGAGCGTGCATGGCCCCAACAATGTTGGAAGAGTTGTGCAAACGGATCCAACATTGTTGCGCTACGCTTCGGTGGTCACGGAACCAAAGAAATGTTGGGAGTTGTTGGCTGAAAAGTTTGACCGGTTTCAAACTTTGCGCAACAACACGCAACAACATCCAACAACATGCAATAGGGTGTCCAAACGGACGCAGCATGTAACATCCAACAATGTTGCGTTCGTTTGCACGGGGCTTAACGCTTAGGAGCGACCTTTCATGCATTGCCTCTATTTTTTTTGCGAACGTAAATTTTACGCACGTGCGCAACGGAAAAATTACGCGACACTGGAAATCAACCCTTATTGCAGCAGAATTAACTAGCGTTCATCATCCGCTGACAAAAACGACGAAGCAGACAATAATCGTTGTTGTTTGTTGCTTTCGTCTGATTTTCTTCTCAAGTTAGGTGAAGATTCCCTCAAAGACGACTGTCGTTGTAACATATGTTCCCGTTTCTTCAGGAATAATCTTTGTTCTGAGTTCCTTTGCTTCTGAATCTGGCGAGTTTCCTTGCTGAGTGTTGTTGCATCGATTGCATTTCGAACAAGAAGTGTTTTTGCGGTGTTTTTTGATAAAAGACTCACCGGCTCCTCTTTACCTGGTTTCATGTCGCTGATCGCAATTAATGAAACCCTGGCCCACAAGTTCACGTTACTTAAACACGGTACTTCAGTTCAAACAATGACGACATCGCGAAATTGTTCGTCATCATAATATGTAATATTGGCTTATCGTCCTGTGTAATAGCCCTGAGGCAACCAAGTACAGATTAGCTTGTTTGCTTGTTTCTAAATTTGCTTTTTCCACCTTGTAATTTTTGGTTGATGAAATGAGTTAGACATTTCACTTCATTTAAAACTGACAAAGGTAAAATAATCGTTGAATAAAGATGGCAGTTGGTAATTTCAAATCAGATAAATCAAATCTTTATCACAACACTATGGTACCAATATCAGTAAACGATAGAATGAGGCGATCAATAGATGATTGTTTAGCATAACGCGAGATCGTTGTGTGAGGTTATAACAACGACGAATAAACAGTTCTTAATGGAGCAAGAATTAAAATAAAAAGTTAACTTTTACATACAAGTTGCGACTATGGCATTGTTTCGGGACCTTGTTTTTGCTATAAGACAACATTTCGTTGATACATTAAAAGGTTAAACTAATAGCTTTGGACCCGTAAGAATTAGACACTTAAATTCAAATAGGAAAATATTTCTGGGCATCAAATCTTTATCACTAAGGTTGTACCAGTATTGCGTGAATGAGTGAATGAACTGTAAGGGAACAATGAACGATCTGCTACCATTTGCGGTAGATTAACCCATATGTTGGAATCTTTCCCATATTGGATAAATCCAACGAAAAAACAGTTACAATGAAAAGGGAGCAAGACTAGTATATCTTCTCAGTTAAAGCACGCGCACCTTTTACAAAAAAGTTTTGGTACTTTCGAACTTATTTGGGACAAACAGGAAACGTTTTAGGTTTCTTACAGGTTGCCTTAATTTTTCAGTTTACGGCAATGACTTCGCGGTTTTTATTTATAGCGACAAAAGCGGAGCACTAACGTCAATGCTGACATTCGCGGCTTCCTTTACTGGCGATGATCACATTGTCTTGAAACGTTGCTTTACATATTTTTGCTATAAGTGGAAACTTTTAATATTTCTAGTAATTTCTTTTCAGTCATTGTTTCTGCAGTCTGTTGTTTTCGCCGACCCAAGAAGGCTTTCGGGCCCAGCAGCCATGTCACCCCTAGGTTCTTTGTTGCTATAGAAATAAGTCGCGAAGATAGAAATTTTGGGCGTTCTTAAAGGTTGATTTTCACTGACGCGTTTTTGGCTGCGAACGTTAACGCACGTAGATTTTAATCACGTAAATAAAATAGAGGCAAGATAAAAAGTGCTGTGCTTAAATGAGAGGTTGAGCGAGGTTGAACTTTTAGGCTGCGTGCGAACGGACGCAACAACTCCCAACATTGTTGCGTCCGTGTTGGCAGTGTTGTGCAAACGGATGCAACAACTTCAAACAATGTTGGAACCTGCAGTGCATCGTGGGAAGGATACAACCCACAAGTCTTTGTAAACCATGCGTAATGAGCGTGCGTGGCCCCAACAATGTTGGAAGAGTTGTGCAAACGGATCCAACATTGTTGCGCTACGCTTCGGCGGTCACGGAACCAAAGAAATGTTGGGAGTTGTTGGCTGAAAAGTTTGACCGGTTTCAAACTTTGCGCAACAACACGCAACAACATCCAACAACATGCAACAGGGTGTCCAAACGGACGCAGCATGTAACATCCAACAATGTTGCGTTCGTTTGCATGGGGCTTAACGCTTAGGAGCGACCTTTCATGCATTGCCTCTATTTTTTTTGCGAACGTAAATTTTACGCACGTGCGCAACGGAAAAATTACGCGACACTGGAAATCAACCCTTATTGCAGCAGAATTAACTGACTACCACAGTGTTAGCCTTTTCCACGCCTTGGGATAGTAGGGACAGCGCAAAGAAAACTGAGCTCTCCATTTTACGCCCTCACTTGTCCGCTATCCGAACGCCTGAAACAGGCTACCACAATGTGCAAGAGTACCTCATGCATTTCACATGTCATTTTAGGAAGGATTCCCTCAAGTTCATTGGTCCGGTCAAGAGGCTAACAACAATATTTTAATCATGGATCTTCTTGGAGCTAACTTAGATCAACTGCTACAAAAGGAGTCGGGCAAGTTTAGCTTGAAGACCGTGATACAGCTGGCAGATCAGATGATATGCAGGATAAAGTTTGTTCACGACAACGGCTATTTACATCGTGATATCAAGCCTGAGAACTTTCTGATGGGTAGACGTGACAACGCCCGCAAGGTAGGCTTAACCCTTTAAGGCCCTGGGGCCCGTTTCTCGAAAGTCCCGATAATTAACGGGCCCGGTAAGCTGTCTCCGTTCACATTAAAGATCGAGGTTTCAGTAGTTTTGCATCCAGCACGATAAAACTGTCAGTTAATGAAACAAAATGGAGTAGTTTGCTAGCCAGGACCCGCGCTCTTATTCTTTATATTTCGATTTGAATATTTGATTTCGGGCCCGTAAAGTTACCGGGACTTTCGAGAAACGGGCCCCTGTTTACAAGGAGGGAGGGTAACCCTGGTGCAACGGTTTCCCTGGCAAGAGGGTTAGCCTAGCACTCTCACAATTCTTCTTTTTCTTTTACACGACGTGTTCACAAGGCAGGTAGGGTTACCCTAGCGCTAGGTTAACCCTACCTGAGTGCTAGGGTTACCCTAGCAAGAGGGTTACCCTAACTGCCTTGTAAACGCTCCGCCAGGGATAACTCGCCTACCCGGGAGAACTTTCCTCCGTTATATGTGACCACTAATCTTGACAATTTGAAGGAATTATCCAATTTCTGAGCTAGATTATATATAAACATCGGAACAATATAAGGTATTTTCTGTATATAATCATAATATTTTCCCGTTTTTTCGCGAACTTAACGTCTTTTCCATAGAGAACTTTAAGTTTTATTTCACATCTTGGACGTTACACTGAATGTCACGCAAACAAACACGTCAATAAAGCTGGTAAAGTTGACCCGGGTGATAGGGTAAACCTACCTGTGAAATTTGCTTGTAAACCAGAGCTAACTTTAACCCGCTTGCTAGGTTAATCCTAGCACAAGGGTAACCCTGTCTCCTTGTAAACAGTGACCAACTTCAATTTTCTCCTAATGATATCCATACATTGTCAAGAAATTAGGTTATGAGAATTAATAAAATGATCACCCAAGAGAAAATGTTTCGATCTTTTATCAAATTCTCTCAACCCATTCTTTAAGGAAATATATAGAGATCAGTTTGAAGAATTTGTATGTGTATATTGGGGCTTAAAGGGTTAATGACTTTTTTACATGTTTGACACTAAGGGATATACATAGTTTGTAATGGTTTCAAATCTAAGTCTGTGTTCACACTCTGATCGATAGCTTTTTGCGCCGGCGCGAAAACCGTACCAGATAAGGCTTCCGTTCACACATAAAAACGGTGATTTTGGCGCGAATTTCTGTGACGGAGCGAGGCTACGCCGCGCCTATCTCTAAGGTGGAAAATCACATATCGGATAGATGTTCATACTATGCTGGGTAGCTTTTTGTGTCCGCACGAAGCAAACGAAAAACAATGGCAATTTTTTTTTCGTTTTAATAGCTATTTGAGCGCAGGGTAAGCGTTGATAAATTTTTCAGTCATTGATCGCGCGTTGTTTTGGAATATATCTTTGATTGCCAATTTGAGCCACTTAAATGGGCTACATTTTGTGAAAGTGTCGTGGCGAAAAACAAAATAATCACTCTTACAGAAACGGTCTCAGAGAAAACCTCTTGGAATCACGTTGTAAGCAAGGCAGAGTCCAAGACACCGAGCTGGCTTGCTTATTAAGTCAACCATAACGCCACACTATTTGGTGACAAAAAGGAAAAATTGTAGGCATGTACGGCATGTTTTGAGCTTGAAAATATTTTAAATGAATGCTACAACAATAATTCGAAAGTCACAAACGCACACGGTCACCAAGAAACTTCGGTTTTTATGTTCACAATGTGCTCCATTTGTTGATGTTACTGGAAGTAACTCCAATAAGCATGGCAGATCTGAGGAACTGGGTTAGTCACATTGCACCTGTAGGAGTTCTCAAATTAATAGTCACTGCAAAAAGGTGGGCGATATTTTTCATTTCAAATATTAATACTGTACACTATTTCTCTGAACTGGCTGAGTCACTTTATTCGTGGGATTGAGTCAGAGAAGCTTTAAGTTAGTGGGAGTTAAATTATGTCATTGAAGGACTGAAGCACGCAAATAAGATGGCGGCAGCGAAGTCGAAAATACGGCACTCTTTTATTTACTGTATGAGTTGAGTGTGATAGAACTGTACGTGCTTAAAGCATGAGTTGTAAAACTAGCTGTTCAGTCAGTCAGTCAGTCAGTTTTTTCTGCAAAGAAGGAGTACAAATTAAAGATCTACATTCTTGGAAAATGAAATACTTAATGATAAGAGCAAAAAGTTTTAATTCTTTCGCAAATGGGTTCGTGAGTTATTGAGGGTGAAATTATTTCAAAGAAACGAATGACCTGAGGGGAAATTAGTTGCTTTCAGTTGTCATTAGCGTAAGATCCATGGATAGGAGTTATCAAGTTAATTCAAGTCATTAAGAGAAAAAAGCGTGTGGGTTCAAAGAGGTAATTGCGTGGTGTTATTAGTGTTTCGTTTTCAACATGTTTATATTCAATTATTTTTCTTTTATACACCCTGTCGTCTTGGCTGTATCCATTAAAACATGTCCTTTTTTGCACGTACGTCGAGTTACCTCTTTAAATACAATTTTTATTTAGTAAAATGTTCTTTCAGCATTGACCGAGTACAATGCTTCCATTAGTAAAGGGGCGTACTTGACAGAAATGGTTTACAGTGTATCCGTACATTTCCTTACGATCTGATTAGCGTGCAGAATTAAATTTTCTTTTCTTTTCAGTACCTGTTGTTTAAGAATGAACAAAAAGCATTACGCTAAGCCCTTCATAAGTTCCTGAGTCATCTATGGTTAGAGATGGCCCCTTGTTTTATGACAGCTGAGCTCTTTGTCTGTTTTTACCGAGTTTTTTGCTTTAATTAGTTATATATAACTTCTATCTTTTTCAACTGAAAAAACTTGGTGACAATTAAACTACAAAGTTTTGCCGAAAAGATCACGTGGGTGCAGAGCTTTTTTTTCTTTCTTTTTTTTCTTCTTGTTTTTTTTTTATTTTTTGCAACTCTCTTTGAATTATCAAAATTATTTATGATTTTTCAGGTTTACTTGATTGATTTTGGTCTCGCAAAGAAGTACAGGGATAAGCGTGTTCGACACATTCCTTTGAGGCAAAAAGAGAGTTGCGAACTCACAGGCACCGCTCGGTACGCTAGTTTGAATGCCCATAAGGGGATGGAGCTGAGTCGGAGGGACGANTTTTTTGCAACTCTCTTTGAATTATCAAAATTATTTATGATTTTTCAGGTTTACTTGATTGATTTTGGTCTCGCAAAGAAGTACAGGGATAAGCGTGTTCGACACATTCCTTTGAGGCAAAAAGAGAGTTGCGAACTCACAGGCACCGCTCGGTACGCTAGTTTGAATGCCCATAAGGGGATGGAGCTGAGTCGGAGGGACGATTTAGAGTCCATTGGCTTTGTCCTTCTTTATTTCCTCAAAGGGACCTTACCTTGGCAAGGACTTCAAGCTCGCAGCGACCAGGAGAGATTCAAGTTAATAACTGAGAAAAAGCTTTCGTTTTCGGCAGAAAGGCTTTGTCATAAGTTGCCTGACGCTTTCAAAGATTATCTTAACTATTGCAGAGGATTAAAATTCGAAGAAGAACCGGATTACGAATATTTGAGAGATCTCTTTCAACAGCTGGCGTCGAAATTAAAAATTGAATTAGATGGACGATTTGACTGGAGTCCAAATCCGACCAAAATAAGTCGAACATGTAAAAATAACGAACAGAAAGAACTCGAATAGCATCAACAGTTTCTTTTTTAATTTTAGTTCATAGGTTTTAGTTGTAATCAATAATTATTCTGGCCGTTGTTGTGCGTCTATAAAAAAAAAATTTTTGCCAAATGATAATGTAAGACACAAATAAGATATAAGCGGCTCACGTAGTAATTAAATTGTGTAAACATTTTGAGAGGGTTACAGGAACTATCTTCTATCTTAAAACGACATGGTTTTAGATAAAAAACTGAAGATACTTCTTTCATAATTTTTTTTGGTTGACCAAGAAGAAATTCTTGCACGCAAATGTTTAAACTATGTTGTACACAAGCTAAACCACTTCAGCGGAGTTTTGAACGCCAAAATTGGCCTTAAATCACATAAATTTCGTATCGATTTCGAAGTAGTGTGTCAAATCTTCAGACGTTTTGCGTTTTTTTCCACTTTCGTGTCATACTATAAAAAGAGCCTTGTATCTGTCATTCGGGAAAAAAGTTTCGAGTCATCACGTAATTTATCTGTTTTATATAGGTCGAGTTTAAAGCAGTTGATTTTGTTTTATCACTTTAATATGCAAAAATAAAGAAAGCAAACATCCCTTGACTTGACACGATTGTTCATAACAAAAAGCAAGACGATGTATTTTTATATAAACCGTAAAGGGTTCCGTGTTATAGCTGGCGTATAGACGTTTTCGTATCGTTTTCTTTTTTGGTCTTTACAAATACCTCGACATGGCTGTAGTCCGTTAAAATCTTCGACTGACGCCATGTTCCGGCTCCTCTCTCAGTTAGGAAAGATATTTAAATACAGGATGAATCTGATAACAAGCAAACGGTAGAAACGTCTCGATTTGTTTATCGGCAGTAAAAAAAGCCTGGCATGTTTTGAATATGATTTATACTTATTAATATTCACAGGTGTCGCCTGTTAAAAGTGTACAGTAATGATCTCTTCATTTCGTTATTTAAACGCGCCAGCAAAAATTGAATAAACTGGGAGATGCGAGTTCATTGTAAGACAAAGATTCGGTTTAATGGCGCCCTATGACGCAGATTAACGTGGTTAAAATGCTCCTAAATTGTGAGGAAAATTGATGCGTTGAACGCGTCTTTCGGAGTCCGCTTCAATTTTTCCTGTTGTTGTAAAACTGAAAGAAATGTAGAAAACGTCGGTGGATTTTGTTTTCGAAAGCACATCTACATAATTCTACATAACTATTATTCTGTATCCTATTACTGGAATGGTAAGCTTGTAAAACGCTAACATAGGCGCAAACTAACTTGGAATTGCAAGCAAGTATTTATTTCTCGTGGATTTCGGTGATTTACACCAGTCGATCATGGGCAATCTTCCCATTGTACTCTCGACAATCAACGGATTTTCCTCTGTTGCGGGGACGGTAGGTAACCTTCTGGTGTGCTTTGTGATATACCGGAACGAAGAACTTCAAACAGGAGTAAATTTTTTTATACTTAGCCTCAGCGTGGCGGATCTAACTGTGTGCTCTGTTGCCCAGCCTCTATACATCTATTATTTGAACCAAGAGTGGAGTCCCGAGAGGTTTAGAAATTTCAAAATCGTCTCGTACGTTGCTCTACACGCTTCGTTTCTTAATCTTCTGTCGCTGACAATTAATCGATTGTTTGCGGTTTGGCTCTCTTTGGAGTACGCTACTGTTATGCGAGGTAAAAACATCGCCCGAATTGTGTGCTTTGGATGGGTCTTGTCCGTTGTCATGGCGATCGTTTTTTCCACCACATCCCTTAAAAAGCCGGCGCCGTATTTCCACCTGGCGATGCTCCTAATGTTTCTCTTAATGTACACAAAGATTTTCACTATCGCCAGAAAGCAACGTCGACAGATCGCTTCTCAGTTCCAAGCAGTTTCGCACAACTACAGGGTCAAGAAGTTCACCCACGATCACTTGCCGACGAGAACATTGGCAATTCTCATCAGTGTTTCAGTTGTCCTGTTCATGCCTGATTTAGTATTTCAACTCAAAGGAAGCAGCGACTACACAAGATTTCGTTGGTCTTTCACGACTATGTTTTTAAGCTCGTTTTTTAACCCTTGTGTTTATGTTTGGAGATGTGAAAAGTTTCGACTAGCGTTGTACAAGACATTTGGTTTCTCTCGAAGTGGATCAGACAAAAATTTTTCTTGGATCAAAGGCATGAGTGATCGAAAGAAAGCATTTGGGGTTGAAAATTCTCGTGTTGGTATAGTTACAGACAGTAGCGTCAGGGTTATAAATATAGAAACGTTGAACAACGAAATTGTTTTACCAAACTATACCTTAAATGTTTTAAAGGTATGAGGAAATTGTCGTTTCGGCGTAATGTTAATACATTTTATTCCTTATTTACTTTAAAAATGTGTGAAGTCACCTAATTGTTCTTGGGGGCTATGCACTTATCACGAAAACATTAGAATAGAGACATTCTAGATTAACATGTCTGTCGGCGCTTTGTTTTAGCCGCGCAATAAAAAAAAGAAGAAACAGTTTTAGTGAGAAAAGCTTAATAGACTCACGGCTGTCCAATCTCTTGACGTTAATGGAAGTGGAAGTGAGATATGGAGTAGAAAATTTATATAACACTAGATTTTTTCCTTTTCGTGCCAAGTCCAGCTGTCAGAATGGCTATGACACCGACAAATAAATTACATTACCGTAGGTATGACTCAACGCGGCGCATCGAGTAGACTCGTGCTCGAAACATTAAGAAAGTGATATATAAAACCCTCTCCGTGCATATAATAAACAACTTTGGGTTTATGCCTATAGGGCATTCACCCGTGAGTAAACTGAAAATTTCTGAAATTTAAACAAAGGCCAGTAAATAAGGCAACGTTACTCTTTAAATAGACTACGGAGAGCGTTTAGTTGAAAAAATACGGCCTGCACGTACACGCCCGCTTACTTCCCTGGCTTTACGTGGGACGATCACAGGTAGCCCTAGCTAAAGAGTGCGAATTCTCAGTTTGCATAACATTATATTATAAGAGTTTGTCTTTGGATTCGTCCGAGGGCTATTTGGGACCACAGGTAGCCCAAGCTAACGAGCGCGAATTTTCTTAGCATAACATTATGTTATAAGGGCTTGTATGTGGATTCTTCCTAGCGCTATTCAGGAGTCAAAACAGTAATAAAAGGGCAGCAGATTTCCTTACCTTGTTTTCATGTATTATTTATAACGTTTTCCTATTATGTGAGGTCGTTTCAGAGCAGTTTCGGCGACAAACTCACTGCATTATGCCTACTTACCAGTGTCCATACAGCTACCTCTCTGTTATCACTCCATGGGATCAGTCTACGTTCCTAGGAAACTGCCCACCTACCCCTCCCCTTAGCCAACAATTTGCCCTAAGTCAGAACTAAGTGTTAATGTTGGCTTAGGGGAGGGGTAGGTGGGCAGTTTCCAAGTGTAAGTTTCCTTGTAGAATCCGTGATCCTGGGCATTGGAATCCGTGATTAGTTTTAAAGAATCCAAAAATCCTGAAACCGCTGATGATTGGAATGTGGAATCCAGTACCTGGAATCCGGAACCCACAGCTTGGAATCCAGAATCCTGGACTCTCTTGAATTACCTTACAAGAGGCGACTGTTAAGTTGGCTCTGAATATAGCAACTTCTTACAACCCTAATCTTTAAAACATACAGTCTACCTCCTCTTATGGCTACCTCTCTACAATGGCCACTTTTTTTTCGTCCCGGCGGACAAAAAATTCATACATTGACTCTTGTTTAACACCTCTCTACAACGGTCACCTCTTTACAACTGCTACTTTCTTCTACCCCCAAGATGGCCGTTGTAGAGAGGTTCAACTGTAGACTATTCTATATAAGTGGCGAATCCAGGGGAGGGGCCCGGGGAGGCGCCCCTCTTATTTTTAGATCAAACAGAGGCCCGAAGGAAATTTTTTTTGAGACCGTGCCCCCCCCTCCCCCCCTTTCTCAGGGTCTTGATGACCGGGGTTCCCTTATCTGAAGGTCTGGATCCAAACACAAAATGTTATGAAAGCAGACGGGATCGAGGGTATCTTAAATGGACTGTTATAGTTTTGCTACGAGCTCATTCCTGTCTTACTGTAATGCAAATGTCTGGATTGACCGAGCGCGCTGGAAATTCAGTAATAAAAGTTTTATGAGCTTTCAGTGAGCAAATGCAACGGCTATACGCATATGCTACTGCTGAGTTTACCTTTAACACTTAGTAATGGTAATAGCATGAGTGGCGTACAATTCAGGGAGCATCAGTCTTAAATTCAGTGACAAGAATGACTAATTGCTGGTCCACATCATTAAAAATAGAATAATAATGATAATAATAATAATAATAATAATAATAATAATAATAATAATAATAATTCCTCTTCTTTTATGTAAGGTTAAGTTACTTCTATTTCTTAGAATTTGAAAATGAATAGTTTTTTCTATCTTCACTTATAATATATAGGATTGTTTTTGTTCTCTAATGAAGGACGAAGAGTTTCTTTTGTAACAGATGGAATTGTAGATAGTGTTTTTGATGAATTAATTAAATTTTTTGTAACAGCAGGTTGATTGTAAATAGGATTTTAATTGAGGTTTTGTAATAAAGATTCTTTTCTCATAATAATAATAATAATAATAATAATAATAATAATAATAATAATAATAATAATAATAATAATAATAATAATATTTAAAGCGTTTCATATCTTTGTCTCAATGGTCTTACGTCAGTAAGCTTAAGCCGGAGAGCGACAAAAGAAAAATGCCGAAGAAAGTAAAAAGAATAATTGAAAATTTAAAGTACAAAGAATAAATCTCTACAGAAACAAAGAAAGCCTAAAATTTGTTCGGGGGAAAACCATTCGATCAATTCATACTTGTAAATGCACTAGTCTTGTAAATACTTAATGAGGCAGGCACGTATGTTTTCACAACAACCGAAACTGCACTTTGCTATTTTCAAAAAGAATAAAAGGGAATGCCAAAAAAGATCGATCTGTCTTTGACTACCTACACTTTGTTCTATTCAACAGCCAGTTTATTGTTTCCAAGGAAGACAAACTAACTTTACCGAAAGTTGTCTATAATGGATCCCCGTTTGTGCAGGTGGCACAAGTGTGTAAAGTATTTCAGGTCTTTTTATATTCATCTTGTTGTCGAACATTTGATTTCAAAAGAAGCTCTTTTAAGATAATCGTGGCTTCTCTTGTCCTTTCTCCCTTCCTTGTTTTGTTTTGCTTTGTTTCCAGGTTTTTTTACCTGTCAACAAAGGATTTGCATCGCGAATATGCAATTTTTTTTGCTCTGAACGATGATCAAAACGTGGACACACATTCCGTTCAATAAACATTACCATTCGACTACATTTGATCAACTGATTAGACTAATTCGCGATCCATTAAGCTTGCTATTCATCGATAATATAGTTGTGATTCTTTTAATTTTGTTTACATTTTTTGTCATTATTTTTCGATCACGTATATGAGAGGATCCGCACTTCTTATGCATACAGCTTTAACAAACCTTCCCTAGTGATCTATCTCAAGACTATTCTATATCAGTGGCGGTTCAGGGGATGGGGCCGGGGGTCCCAGCCCCCCCCCCCTACCACCATCCTTATCTCAGGGTGTGGATGACCGGGCCCCCCCTTATCTGAAGGTCTGGATCTGCCACTGTATAATTGGTCTTTTCTTTGAGACATTTTATTAGAAATATCAACTAAACGGGATCGAGGGTATCTTAAATGGACTGTTATTGTTTTGCTACCAGCTCATTCCTGTCTAACTATAATTCAAATGTCTGCATTGACCGAGCGCGATAGAATTTCAGTAATAAAAGTTTTATTATTTTAGGAGCTTTCCGCGAGCATTTGAATGCAACGGCTAGACGCGTATGCTATTGCTGAATTTACCTTAACACATAGTAATGGTAATAGTACTGAGTGGAGTACAATTCAGGGAGTATCAGTCTTAATTTCAGTGACAAAAATGACTAATTGCCGGTCCACATCATTAAAAATATAATAATAATAATAATAATAATAATAATAATAATAATAATAATAATAATAATAATAATAATAATAGTGTAGTATTTAAAGCATTTCATAGATTTGTCTCAATGGTCTTACAGTAAGCTTAAGCCGGAAAGCGACAAAAGAAAAATGCCGAAGAAAGTAAAAGGAATAATAGAAAAGTTAAAAAACAAAGAATATATCTCTAGAGAAACAAGGAAAGCCTAAAATTTGTTAGGGGGAAAACCATTCGATCGATTCATACTTGTAAATGCACTTGTAAATACTTAATGAGGCAGGCACGTATGTTTTCACAACAACCGAAACTGCACTTTGCTATTTGCAAATAGAATAAAATAGAATACAAAAAGGAATCGATCAGTATTTAACTATCTACACTTTGTTCTATTCAACAACCAGTTTATTGTTTCCAAGGAAGACAAACTAACTTTACCGAAAGTTTTCTATAATGGATCCCCGTTTGTGCAGGTGGCACAAGTGTGTAAAGTATTTCAGGTCTTTTTATATTCATCTTGTTGTCGAATGTTTGATTTCAAAAGAAGCTCTTTTAAGATAATCGTGGCTTCTCTTGTCCTTTCTTCCTTCCTTGTTTTGTTTTGCTTTATTTCCAGGTTTTTTACCTGTCAACAAAGGATCTGCATCGCGAATATGCAATTTTTTTTGCTCTGAACGATGATCTAAACGTGGACACACGTTCCGTTCAACAAACACTACCATTCGCCTATATTTGATCAATTTGCGGTCCATTAAGCTCGTTATTCATCGCTAATATAGTTGTCATTCTTCTTATTCTGTTTACATTTTTTATCATTATTTTTCGATCACGTATATGAGAGGATCCGCACTTCTTATGTATACAGCTTTAACAAACTTTCCCAAGTGATCTATCTCAAGACTATTCTATATCAGTGGCGGTTCAGGGGAGGGGGCCGGGGGGCCCGGCCCCTCCTTATTTTTAGACCAAACTGAGGCCCGAAGGAAATTTTTTTTGAGACCTTATTTGTAAATGCACTTGTAAATACTCAATGAGGCAGTGCAGGCACGTAGGTTTTCACAACAACCGAAACTGCACTTTGCTGTTGGCAAATAGAATAACATGGAATGCAAAAAAAGAAAATCGATCTGTATTTGACTACCTACACTTTGTTCTATTCAACAACCGGTTTATTGTTTCCAAGGAAGACAAACTGACTTTACCGTTTGTCCAGGTGGCGCAAGTGTGTAAAGTATT